GGCCGGGCGGCGCGGGGGCCTCTCGGTGGGCCCGCCCGTCCGCGGGTGGCCCGCCGGTCCGGCGGGCCACGACGACGACGACGACCGCCGGCGACGACGACGACGACGACCGCCGGCGACGACGACGACGGCGACGGACGATGGACGACGACGGGGACGACGGCGAAGACGACGACGACGATGACGACTCCGACGACGACCGTCCGCGACGACGGCGACGACGACGATGACGACGCCGACGACGATGGACGTCGACGTCGACGACGGACGACGGACGACGGACGACGACGACGACGACGACGACGACGACGACGACGACGGGCGACGACGACGGACTATGCACGACGACCGACGACGACGACCGACGACGACGACCGACGACGACGGGCGACGACGACGACGGCGACAACGGGCGACGACGACGGCTTTGACGACGACGAGGGTGATCCAAAATTGTGCTCAGCGAATAGAGGGTGGTGCAATATATTCGGTGCAATTGATTTGTTTGTGGGGTTGCAATAATTTGATTTTGGGCGTGCAATGCATCTAGGGGCGCAGATGTGTTTCTGGATTTCTGCGTTCAGCTCAGAAGATGCAATACAATGCAATACATTTGTCTAGCGCAATACACTTGCGATACACGTGTCCCAAATCTATTGCACCAACCCCTTTCAGCTGGAACGCCTTCTGGGTCAACGAAAGGTATGGATACGTTCGCCGCTCGCGCGAAGGTGTCGAGACCTTTGTGCAATGATGTTTGACAGAACTCATAGAGTCGGGGCCCAGGAAGACGTTCTCTCCCCTGATGCCTCGTTGTTGTTCGTTCCCCCCCTCTGTGTTCGTGTCCTCGTCCTCCCCTCCTCGTCTTCCCCCCGATCTTGTCTCCACAAGGGACATCATGATGTTAGCGCAGATCATCTGTAGAAGATGGGATTACCCCTACCATCTTGGAAACAAACAAATATGCAATCGAACCGGGCTCACTGCATGGCACCGTGACCAGCCGCAGCTTGGCGGGGCTGCCCTGGAAGGGTAGGAGGGGCACGACACCTGGCAAATGCTATCGTGTTCCGATACCCTGCCGTCCGACTGGACCTCCCTTCGGGTGCGGGAGGGGCACGAACGTTTGTGAGCAGTATTGTGCTCCAGCGCTCTGCCGCGGTCTGGCGGGGCCTCCCTTGATGGGGTGGGATGGGCACGACAGTTGGTGGACAAGAAGGGGGTACTCCGAGACCCTGCCATGGTCCGGCGGGGCCTCCCTGAAGAGCTGGGATGGGGCACGACGCCTGGTGGGAGGGGGCCGCTCCATGGAGGAGGGGGAGCTTGCAAGGGAAAGGGATGTGGAGCTTGCAGGAGGAGGAGCTTGCATGAGACGCTGAGTTTCCTTCACGCCTCACCTACAGCATGTTTCATCTCGATACTTTTTACGCTCCGATTCGTCTACCTCCTGTGCGATTCCCCCGCAGGTTCGCCAGAGCCATGGCACCAAGGGGCGGGACGAACGCGTGGCGGCCCTCGAGCATCCGATCCCAGGAAATCGACATGTTGGTGCCCACACCTGCCCGACGAAGAGCGCGCCGAAGGCGCCAGCTCGCCGTGGAGGCGGCGCTCAGGCACCTGCAGTGCCGTGGCCGTGCAGTGCTCGGCCGGGCGGACACGCCGACCTCCACCATGAGGAAGGGAGGTGGCCATCTTCGTCCCCGCCGTGCCACCCGGCCACGGGGCCACCGACGGCAACACTAGTTGTCGCGATGATGGGACTCTCCGCCCGCCGCACTTCATCCCAGCGTGCCGCTGCTACGCCTGCTCCCACGTCCCCCATTGCCCCACGGCCCCCGCGACAGACTCCATGCCTCCCTCAGCCGCACCCCGAGTGGCCGCATGCCCTGAGCATTCCCGTGGGGGGGCATACCCAGGGAAGCGGCCATAGGGGCAGGCCAAAGCCTGCGCCGCCTGCCCCGCGGCGGGCTCGGCGTCCCGAGTGGCCGCATATTCTGAGAGGAAGCCCGCGGGGGAACACCCGGTGAAGCGGCCATAGGGGCAGCCGAAACCAACCCTTGGGGCCCACCACCCGACCCACCACCACGACTGCTCCAACGACCCACCACCACTACGATGGCCTCCCACGACGTCGCCCGTCCCGCGCACGCCTGCCCCCACTATCCTCGACGACCCCCGCGACGACCCCCGCGACGGCCCCCGCGACGGCCCCCACGACGACCCCCACGACGGCCGCCGCGACGGCCGTGCCCCGAGTGGCCGCATGCTCTGAGCGGGAGCCCGTGGGAGGCACACCCGGGGAAACGGCCAGAAGGGCGGCCGGCCAGCCCGCAGCCTGCGCCGCTGGCTTGTCGGCAGGATGCCCCGGGGGGGGGCCCGCGTGGGGCATGCCCGGGGAAGCGGTCATGGGGACGGCCGGTCACGCCCTCGACTCCCCCCCACGACAGCCGCCGCCACGGTCCCCGCGACGGACCGCCACGGCGAACCTCGCGTCGACAGACTTTCCTCGTCCTCCCTCCCCGCCGGCTCTCCCTTTCGTGAGGGGAGCTGCTGCCCCCTGTCCCATGACCCCTCCCTGCCCCGCGTCCTCCTGCCCTACGTACCCCGCGACCCCCTGCCCTACCATGAGGCTCCCCCGACCCCCTGCTCAAAGGCCCTGACGACGGCCGCGCCCCGAGTGGCCGCTTGCTCTGCGAGGGGGCCCGTGGGGAGCATGCCGGGGAAAGCGACCGTATGGGGCAAATGCCGTTCGACGGGCTCGATATCCCGAGTGGTTGCATGCCTTGAGAAGGGGACCCGTGGAGAACATGCCTGGGGAAGCGGTCATTGGGACTGCCAGCCACGCTCTTGGGGACACGCCGCCCGACCGGCGCAACGGCCCTACTTCGCCCCCACACATTCCGAACGTCCCCCCGCGACACCCCGCGACGACGAACCCGTACGACGGCCGTTGCGCGAACCCTGCGACCACGCGCAGAGGGGGTATGGGGGAGAGGGGGAGGCTTTTCAGAATCACTTATGCTTCTTAGAAGGCGCGAGCCTTCCATATCGATTTAGGGCCCTGCCTTTAAGAATCAGCATCCTTCTAGGAAGACTCCCCCCCTTGTGCGAGCCGCCGAATTCTGTCCCGAGAGGGGTCCGAGGCGCGAACTCGAGCAGATCTCGGATTCTGCAGGAGGAAGAGGAGGAACCTTACGCCGACTGCGACGCACTTCCTCGTTTTAGTTTTTGTGCGCCCTCCCGATTTGCCCTCGCCTCTTCGGCTGGAGTCCCTTCGGAACACGCAGAAAGCTTTCGAAAGCACCCCGGGAGACGTCATGGGTGCAGCGCCGTCATCTGGATGCGAGCATACGAAGTCACCTTGGACCTGCATGCAATTGTTTCCTGGCACGGGGAAAGCTCGGTGAGGGTGCTTCAAGGAGCGCGCAGTCCACCGCGGCACGGCGGACTCGTGGCGGCTCCCCCCCAGAGAGAGAGAGAGAGAGAGACGTCTATACATATACATATCTATAGAGAGAGGGAGAGAGAGAGAGAGAGACAACAAAGAGAGAGCGAGAGAGAGAGGGAGGGAGATGAACAAGTGACAGGTTCCCCCGCGCCACCTCGTCCATCATCTCGTCTTTATCTCTGGTTGCCCTCATTCAAGTGTTTGGCGCGCAGACTGAGGCTCTCGTAGCACAGCTACTCGCCTGCCTCGTGCCTTGGCTCAGCGACGCGATCAGGGCGCACCTGTTCGGGCGCGAGAGCAGTACCCGAACACCCCTCCAGCACGAGTTCAGACTCCTCGTCCGGCGCTTTTTGAAACTTGGCCGCGCGCAGAGGAGGGAAGGGGGAGGGGGAAGGCCTCTCAGAAGCACCCCTGCTTCTTAGAAGGTTTCGAAGAAGCCTTCCCCCCTCCCCCATACCCCTTGTCCGCTCCGCCAGGGAAAGGCGGCGCAAGAGGGGGGTCCAAGAGATCCGATGCTTCGGTTTTGTGTTGTACGAGATCCTCGGATGTCTCGACCCTTCCCCGGGCCAGTTCTTCGTCCTAAGTCGCGCTTCGACGGTTCTGGGGCCCGGCGAGGGCCCCCAAAGGCTGACCGTTCTTCCAACAAGGTCCTGCGTTTTCTCGGACGCGAGCATGTCTGGGTGAGCCACTGGAGAAAAACAATCTCGGGGCCTTTGCCCCGATGCTGGGCTGGTCCCCTCGGCCGCGACTCCGCGGACACAGGGTGTTTTGTTGCGGATGCCCCGCGCGGAACGTATCCGTGCGATTGCGCTAATCCGCGGGAGCGCGCCCTTGAATCCAGACCGCAGTGGCGTTAACATGGAAGCGGTCGCCGGTTGAGAAAACAACCTCGGGGCCTTTGCCCCGACGGCGGGCGGGGCCAGGACAAGAACAAGCACGTTCCAGAGCTTTCCAGAACGCTTTCAGAGCGTTCCAGAACGCTCCGATAAGGCCACGGCGCCCGAGATACCCTCCAGAGCCGCCTGGTCTCAGAGATCCTCGACATGCCCTCACCCCAGTTTCTCCTCGTCATGGCTTCGTCGCCCGAACTTTCGGTCTCACTGTCCCTCTTCCCCTCGGTGGCGTGCGATCCTCCTGCCTCCCCCCACAGAGAGACGGACCGCTCCTGCGGAACGGGCGGCTGCTCTCCTGAAGCCTGGCCGCCTGCGGGCACCTTCCAAACCTTGAGGAGAAGGACGACAAGGAGGAAGAGGAGGAAGAGTGGGAGGAGGAGGAGGATAAGGAGGAGGATGTTCTTTGCTTGTTCTGTCGAATGTCTTGGGCAGCTTGGTATCTGGGAATGAATGAATGAGGTGGTGGAGGAGGAGGAGGAGGAGGAAGAGGAGGACGAGGAGAAGGAGAGGGATGAGAACGACGAGAATGAGGAGGAGGAGATTCTCTGCTTGTTCCGTCGAATGCCTCGGGCGGCCAGGTATCTGTGAAGGAAGGAATGAGGAGGTGGATTTGGAGGAGGAGGAGAAGGAGGAGGAGGGGCCCCGAGCGCGCCCTGAAGGCTCAGCCCGGCGGGCCGGGCGGCCCCGGCCGCGGCCTCTTCGCGGCCTACCTGGCCAGCGGCCTGGAGGCCGTGCGCCCGTCCGCGCGCGGCCCTCCGCGTGGCCCAACTCGCGCGCCGCGGCTCGGCTCGGGCCTCCGCTGGATGGCAGCAGGCTGCCACTCTGGCCTAAGGAGGTCTCCAGTTTTGATCCCCGCCCTCTTTTTCATTCAGCGGTGCACAGGAGTGGTCTCAAAATCTTCTTTTCTTCCTCCTCCTTTTCCATCCTCCTTCCTCCTCCTTCCTCGCCCTCCTCCCTCCTCCTCCTCCTCCTCACTCCTTCTCCTCCTTCTCCTCCTCCCCCTCCTCCTCTTCCTTCTCCTCCTCCTCCTCCTCCTCCTCCTCCTCCTCCTCCTCCTCCTCCTCCTCCTCTCCTCAGCCTCATTGTCCTTAGGAATGTCACGAGGAGGAGGAGGAGGAAGAAAGGACGAGGAGGAGGAGGAGGGGGCGGGTTTCGTTGTTGTTGCAACGCGGGTGCCGCAGAACAAATCATTATTTGCCCCCTATTGGACCCCAGTGAGACTGCTCGTGGAGAGTGACCCTCCTCGACTGCACGTGGAGAGTGACCCTTCGCTGGAGTGACCTTTGGTGCTCGCCCATTTCGGGTCCTCCGGTGGCCGAGTGCGGTGCGACAGCAGCGGCCTGCGCGTTCGGGTTTGGCCTCCTTCTCCCCTTCCCCCAACGCCGCGCACCGAAGGTCGTTCTTGCTTAGGGTCACTCTTTGTAGGCCTCCCGGATGGGGACAGAGGATCGCGCCGCATCGCCGATGCATCGGCAATGTGGCTCGATGTGGATCTCGATGTTCTCCACGCCGACGTTGCCGATGCATCGGCGATGCATCGACGATGCGGCACGATCCTCGGCCCCCATCTACTCCGACCCCATCTGGGAGGCCCCTACTTGCGTGTAGCCGACCCCCCCTCTGGGTAATCTGACCTTGTCGGTCGTGCAAGTCCGGTTACGCAGCCTTGGTGCACGCGGGCATGCGTGGGGCTGGCCGGAGCGAAAAGGCTAGGCTATCGGCTGGCACCTTCCCCCCCCCCCACATGGGGTACTCGCTGAAAGATACAAGGTGCTTCTAGATCCAGAAGCAGAGGATGAGGAGGTGGAGGAGGAGGAGGAGGACCGGCCACGCGCAGAGGGGGGTAGGGGGAGGGGGGAAGGTTTCTTAGAAACGCCCCTGTTTCTTAAAAGGTGCGGGCGTTCTCTATAGATGTGCGGCCCGCGCCTTTTATGAAGCAGCCTCCTTCTACGAGGCCTTTTTCCATTCCCCTACCCCTTAAGCGCGCCGCCAAGAGGAGGACGAGGAGGAGGAGGAGGATCATGAATCAGAAAGAGAGGATGATGATGATGCTGATGATGATGATGCTGATGCTGATGCTGATGCTGAGGCTGATGCTGATGCTGCTGCTGCTGCTGATGATGATGATGATGATGCTGGTGCTGGTGCTGATGCTGATGCTGATGCTGCTGCTGATGATGACAGTGGTGGTGATGATGATAATGATGGTGATGCTGATGCTGATGATGATGATGACGACGGCGACGACGATGCTGATGACGATGATGGTGATGGTGGTGGGGATGATGGTGATGATCAAGATAGTGGGTTGTGATGATGCTGCCGATGATGGTGATGATGATGATGGTGATGTTTGTGGCGGTGGTGATGATGCTGCTGCTGATGATGATGATGCTGATGATGCTGATGATGATGACGATGATGATGATGATGAAACTGATGGTGATGATGCTGATGATGATGCTGATGCTGCTGCAGCTGACGATGATGATGATGGTGATGCTGATGCTAATGACGATGATGATGAGGAGGAGGAGGAGGATGAACGACCAGAAGAGGAGGAGGAATATGAATATGAATAATCAGATAATGCGAGCAACTAATAAGAGCAGGAGGAAAGAACAAGAGAGGAGGATGAGTCTTGAAGCTGGAGGAGTAGGCCTGGGGCCGATGGGTCGGCGACCAGAGGCGCCACTGTTGCGAGGGGGGAGCGGGGCGAATTTCCATGTGAACGAAGTATATACAGCGGCAGTGCTGCCCAGTGGGGCAACACCGAGAGCGAAGCCTTTGGGAATAGCTTCGAGGGCAGCAGCAGGAACAGCAGCCCGAGGTTCGGGGGAGGTGGCGCTGTTGGGCCAGAAGAGAGCAGCCCGGTACCCGCTGGTCGTTGAACGTAGGTAGTTCTGGATCCCCAGATCCCAATCTGCTATGAGTCGGAGGTTGATAGACCTAACCTGACACGTCGATGAGTGAATTGACCGTTTTCGGTTCGCGGGAGGGCGTCACGGCCGTTATTTTTGCGGGTCCAGGTCCGTTGGTTTCGGTCTTGGGCTGTTTTCACTAAAGGGTGGTTTGCGAACGGGAGTTCTGTCCACCGCCGAAGGAGCGCGTTCCTGCCGCACGGGTCGAGCGGTCTCCCATCTTCCCTTCTCTTCAGGGGGGCGGGCGGAACGCTTTCGTACGTCATGCTTCAACCCACTTCGTCCGACCGACGTGTACAAAAGTGCATCCGCGTGCAACCAGCGCATCCAGCGAGCAAGCCGCTGCACCCAGGCACGAACTGCCGCAAGAAGTCTGAAAGCTCCCCCCGTGGACCCATCCACGCCAGACCCAGTACTCAGAGCCTGGTATCACCGATCCCCGTCCCCATCCCCATCCCGAGCCCCACACTCTCACCACCCCTTGCAACCCGCGGGGCACAGCCCATGGCGCCGTCTTCGGGGGCAGATCGGCCAGTGGGGCCCAGGCCACGCAAGTGGGGACGGGGATCGGTTGAAAGATGCCGAGGAGGAGGAGGAGGAGGAGGAGGAGGAGGAGGAGGAGGAGGAGGAGGAGGAACACGACGAAGAGGAGGAGCACGAGGAGTAGGAGGAGGAGCACGAGGAGGAGGAGGAGGAGCAGGAGGAGGAGGAGGAGGAGGAGCTCTGGCCGTCACAGTGGTGGAGGAGGCACCCCTCCTGGAGACGAGCCCACGTGGGTCCCGCCTTCCCCCCGGGGCGGGGTGGGGGGGGGGGGGGGAACGACGCTCGGGCCGCTTCGGCGCTCGTGCACCGCCCCGCGGGTACGCGCGGGCGCCCACAGCCTCGCCTCCTCTCTCTCTCTCTCTCCTTCTCTCTCTCTCTCTCTCTCCCCCCCTGCCTCTCGCAGTCGATTCGCCGTCGGGTCCGTCCGTCTTCTCCTCGCTTCTTGTCTCGGCACGAGAGCACCCGCGTACGGAAAGAATGGGCACAATGCCCAACAGGAGTTACACTTCATCTTGAACGGGGCTCGCTGTCCGCGCCGCCGCGGACACTGTTAATTGAAGGCAGAGGGCCGCCTGCCGAACAGCGGCCGCTGTTGGGTTTTGAGGACAACATGTGTTGTTGGGCATTGTATCCATTTTTCCGTACCCAATGCGGGCGTCCAAATTGTCGGCGGCGAGTTTGGGGAGGAGAGTGAGAGTGGGCGGGCCATCTTAGAAGGATCGGACGTCGTCTGGCTTTCAGCGAGATTTTTCTAGCCTTCCCATAAGACACTGAAACATGTTTAGGAGGCCGTAGAGCTTATCAGAAGCCCCGAGAGACCGTAGAGCTTATCAGAAGCCTCGACGCCTTCTGAGGAGGTCTCCGTCTTCTCACTGTTCCCCTTCGCTCGCCGCCGATCGTGGTTTGTTCTACACTCCCCCATTACAGGCTGGGAGGGGGGCTATCGAGGGCATCGGGACTCGTATCGCTCGACGGTGACCGCAGGTCGAAGCTCGAGGATGGAGGAGGCGGCGCGGGAGGAGGATGAGGAGGAGGAGGAGGAGGACGAGGAGGGGACGAAGGCGGATTCAGAGGAGGGGCTAAAGACGGGGGGGGCAATACAATGGTGGGAGCGGAAGAAAGAGAGCGGGGTGGGGGGCGAGTTGGTGGGGGGGGAGATTCAGATAGTTAATCATGGTAGCCTCCGCTTGCCCTGGACTGACTGTATATCGGCGAGTCGCGCCCGACAGCGCTCAATAGCGCCCAGTAGCGCCGGCTGGTGTTCAATCAACGCCCAAGAGCGGCTGATAGCATGCAGTGACGCTATGTGGTGGGAGACGCATTACAGGGCAGACCCATGCCAACAAACACCCTGTTTGCCTCCAGGGTGCCCTGGGTGCCCTGGGTCTTTCGGGTCTCCTGATCGCGACGTTCCCACGCCAACAAAAAATCAATGGACGTCCTGGGGTCTCAGGGTTGAGTTTCTTGTGGAAGGTTTTTTTGTGGACTGGCCCCACTGTAGCGCCATGGGGGGGGGAGATGCATTGTGTCCGCTGTGCGCGCGATGGGGCCCGCTGGTGGGCGCAGTGGGGGCGACCAAAACAAGTTTCGTGAGTCGCGTTCCAGCGCTCCTCGTGTACCGCAGCTCGGCTCGGGCCTCTGGCGTCTTAGACCCGAACCGCATACCCTTGATCTCGTAAAACCACGTCACGTCATGAAAATTACGGCGAGCTCCTACTGCACGCATCTTGCCCGCACCTCCCGGCGGAGCGGGGTGCCCTACCGTCCTGGGCCCTAGTATAGCTCACAGGTTGGAGCTGCGGCGCAGCCCCCCCCCGCCCCCCCCACCCGAGGGACGAGGCGCGAGAAGGGCGGCAGTCCGCGGAGGGGGCTCGGGATCCCTGCGGTTGTTTTGAAGACCGCCACTCGTAGCTTTATAAGTCGGGCCTGGCCCTCGACAGGAGGAAAGTGCAAAAGTAGTCAAATTAAATAGTCTGGGGACGATTCTTTGACCATGTTCGGGGTATGTTTGGATATTGTCTGACGTTCGATTTGTCCTCCAAGGTCCGCCTGCAGGAGGACATGCCCGACTTAGTCTTAGCCCCCGGAGGCATACCCAGAGCGACGATGCCCCAAATGGCGACATCCAGAGCATCCGCTCTAGACTCGTTTCGTCATGTTCGAAAGGCATCCGCATGCAGGATGCCAACGTAAGCTTCTGACGCACGCTCGCCTCACGTATGGATGTCTAGTTTGGGCACCCATAGTCTTAAACTATTCTGACGGAACCCAACAGTAGGCTCGAATGTCACGTTGTTCGTTTGTCAGGCGTCGGGCATCGATGTTTCCAGGGGCGGAGCTCGAGCGCCGAATCTCAAGTTCGGAATCCGTTTGGTTTGCATGTCACACATTATATGGCATCAGGGCAGGCCTCTCGTCGCCGTACATGTATCCACTTTGACATCCTGTCCAGAAATGCCCACCACAGCGAAGGCCAGGGGCAGTCTTGGAAGACGGAGGGGTCACATCTCTAACGTCTCATGCAAGCACCACGCTGCACACTGGTGCTTGGTCTTCCCCCGCACCCCGGACCCTGTGTTCCTGAACTTCGGCCCTCCTTCCGCTCCTCGTCCTCCCAGCCTCCATCTGCTCCGTCTCAAGTCGCGCCCCCGCCCTATCATCTACAGTGGAGACCCATGCGAAGACACACCCTGCTTGCCTCCAGGGTGCCCTGGGTTTCTTGGTTTTGATGGTCTTGCTATAGAAGGCTTGGCGTTCCCACACCAAAAATCAATGGACGCCCTGGGGTCCCAGGGTTGGGTTTCTTGCGGAAGGTTTCTTGTGGGTCGCTCGCCGCCGCCTTCCCTGCTCGATCTCCAAGCCCCCCTTTCTGCCGCTTGTGCCTTCAATCTAGGTCTTTGCGGTGGGGCGGCACCTGGCCTGTCCTCGCCAGGCGCTGTTCTGTTTTAGCTGTTCTCTCTTTGTCTCTCCGTGCCTTTCCCTCTCTCTCTCCCTCTCCCTCTCCCTCTTCCTCTCTCCCCCTCTCCCTCGCTCTCCCTCTCTGCACACGTCGCTTCATGCCGTGTGCTCACGCGTGCCCTCCCACGCCCTCTTTCGGCCCTGAGGGTACGACTCGTTCCCGCTCAGGCCGTCTGCCTCCGCTTCCTCTCTCTCTCTCTCGTCCTCTCTCTCGTTCGCTGTCGCCCTCTCCCTTCCTCCCTCTGTATGGCTCCCCTTGTCTGCCTCCTCACACCGCCAGGTCATCCGGGAGTTCACGATCCGAGTGCAGGGCCTCACCCAGGCTGGAGTGGGGGGCGTCCTCCATGATTGAGCACATCCAGTGCGCCAGCAATTACACTGAGATCGCCAGTGCACGAGCGCACGCCAGGATCCAGCGGCCTTCGGCCCATCCCTCCTCCTCCTCCTCCTCCTCCTCCACCACCACTTCCTCCTCCTCCTCATTCTCCTCCTCCTCCTCCTCCGCCCAGGCTTGGGGGGGAGGGGGGGAGTCCTCCCTGATTGAGCATATCCACTGCGCCAGTAGTTACATTGCTATCGCCAGCTGCAAGAGCGCACGCCAAGATATCTCCAGCGGCTCTCGGCCCCTCTCGCTACCGTACCCCTCGGTCGTTGAAAGTCGGTGTTTCTGGGATTCCCATATTCCAATCCATGTTAAGCGCCTTCCTGCTTCAATGAGTGTGCACGAGGTGGGCGGAATCCTAATCTACTTCCAACGCCTCCCTACTTCATGGTTCTACCTACTTCCGACCGATGGGCACTTAGGGCGTGGCCCCGCGGGCATCCTCGAGGGTTTCTTTGGGATCCTCGCTGGGGCTCCTTGGGCGCCTTTTTGAGGCCCTCTCGGGGCCCCTCCTGGATGCGGCCTCAGGGGCCAGCTTGGGGCGGAGGGCTTCCACAGCGCCTTCGAGAACCCCCACCCTCCATGGACCCCTCTTGGGGGCCTCTTGGGGCGCTCTGGGGCCGCATTCGGGCGATATTGGGGGGCTCCCTTGCCCATCTTGGGCGCCCTTGAGACGGAGAAGGCGGACATGTCGAATTCTTGACAAACCAAAGGACCCTCGATAAGTCTTGCCGTGTCGGAGCCTTCTGAAGTCTCCCTTGGGCCGCTCTTGCCGAGTATTCGGGGCCGCTTGGACAATCTTAGCCTTTTTTGGGGCTACCTCTGGGTCCAGCTTCGGGCGGTGTTGTAGCTCTGTATGGTCGTCTGGGGACCCTCACGGTCCGCCCAGGCGCCGTCGTGGAGCCCTCTTCGGAAATAGAGTGGCCGTATTCGGATTATATGGGGGGGCATCTTTGGACGTCTTGGGCATTGAGACCAAGACGGCGCACATGTTGAATTTCTATCCGAATATGACAACCATTGTTCATTCGCCTATCCACTGCCTCCAGATCATTGGGTGCCTGTGTTTCTTCGGTCACGATTGGTAGTGACAGATCGGCACTCCAAATGTGTCACCACCGATCCAGTAGCGACCGATTGTGAAGCAAATTGGTCGCGACCGATACCGGAACTAGAAGCACAATCGGTAGCGACAGATCTCGTCGGTCGCGACAAGGAACATCTGACATTCGATGATGCAGATTTGCTGGCCGTCTGGTATCGCAGCCACATCCCCAACGTCCTAACCGAGCCCTTATTCTTCAACCGACCCCCGCCCGAGAACGCGAGCGAGGGGGGAAGTGAGAAGGGGAAGGCTTTCTCATAAGGCGACGGGACCTCTCAGAAGGCCAGAGGCCTTTGACAAGTTTTTTGTGTCTTCGGGGAAGCCCCAGCAAACTGTTCTGAAGGCCGCGGGACTTCCGAGCCTGCTGAGAAGGCCCGCCCCTTCTCACTTCTCCCCTGGGCTCGCCGCCGAGGTTAGCCCCCCCCGTCGTTGCGTGGTAGTAACCAAGCCTTCTGGGTCAGTTTGGGAGTTCGTTGCGGCGAAGGTTGCGGCCACAGGTCGGGGCATGGTCTTGGTCAAAGAGTGGTATGCCCCTGCCCAGCCTCCCCAGCTATATGACAATGTAGACTTTGCTCGTCATGATACCATGAAAGCGGTCCAACATAGGCAGTCGTGTTTCCTTGGGTATGGGTCGATCATCACGTAACCACCCCTCCCAGCCTATTATTTGGATGGGAGAGGGCGGCGGCGGCGTTCTAAAGGGGCTGTTCCTCATCCTTGCTCGACCTCCTCGTTCTTCACCACAACGTTCACGCCTTCGCCGACAGTGGCACACAAGCTGCCCGCGTGAGGTCGCGCGCACGCGCCCTCGCTTCCCATGTAGCGTGCCGCGCTGGCGGCCCGCGTAAGCCACCGCGTGAGGTCGCTATGCCGTTTCGCGGTGCGACGCGCTTCTCGTCGCCCCCCCCCCGCCCCCGCACGTGGCAGGCGGCGCAGCCGCTGGGCCCCGGCGCGCTGAGCCCCGGGCAGGCGCCGCGCGCTCGGGGGGTCGCCCGCGCCGCGCCCGGGGCGCCTCGGCATGCTGGGGTTGGGGCCGCGATGAATGGGGGGGCGAGGCCCCTGCAGGGCCCCTGATGGGGCCCCTTCGGGCCCAGAAGCGGGCCCAGAAGGGGGCATTTGGGGCCCGAAAGGGGCACCTTTCGTCCCTCTCCCCACTTATCGGCCCTCCGTGAATTCGCGCCCATGAGGCTTCGAACTGGTAAGGCTTCTCTGGGCTCAAGAGAAGAGGGTGAATTCACACAGGGGTCAGCCAGGGCCCTGGATCCTGCAGGATCCTGCAGGATCCTGCAGAGCCAGGGTTGCATGGACCCAGGCTAGCGCGCAGGACCCTGCCAGGTCTTGCAGGATTTTTTAGGATCCTGCAAATCCCGACTGACCCGGGGGGTTCGGGTTTTCATTGGCCTGGGCCAGTGCGTCCCCCAAGGCTTCGGGCTGCGCGCAGACAGTCGGAGGACAGAAATGGAGTCACCTGTTTTCCCCCCCTCCCCTCCCCCAGAAGCAGGATGACTTTCAGAGAAGGGGGCAGGGAGAGAGGGAGGAGAAAGCGGTAGATCTGTGTAAACACTGGATCCCCATCAAGGGGCCCTCCCAGGGAGTCCCAGCTGGCCTCAGTAGGCCCTCCCAGTAGTCCCAGCTGGCCTTAGCAGGCCCCACGAGTAGCCCGGGCTGGCCTCAACAGAACCCTGGAGTAGTCCCAGCTGGCCTCAGCAGGCACCCCGAGCGGCCCCACTTGGCCTCAACAGGCACCCCGAGTAGTTTCGAGCGGTCTCAGCACCCCGGCACCGCCTCTGGCAGGGTGTTGACCAGCGCAGACTAATTACTCGGTGGAGGCCAGTTGGGACTACCTGGGGGGCCCGATGCGGCCAGCCGAGGATACCGAGCGTTTCGCAGTGGGGCCAGCGATGCAGGAGGGGGGATCGAGGCCATGAGGGATATGCGTCGCAATGCTTCCACGTCGTCGTCGTCGTCGTCGTCGTCGTCGTCGTCGTCGTCGTCGTCGGGTGGGGGCGGTCCCCTGCTTCCCCCTTCGGCTCTTGACCTCATCCTGGTTCAGGGGGCGTGGATTAGCAACGAGTCCCGCTTCCATTGGAAATCACGGAATTCCGCCGCCGAGCGATGAGGCACCGGCCGCACCCCCTGGCGCTGCGCTCCCCTGGCTGCGCCTCCAGCGCCGCCCCTGGCTCTCTCTGCGCGCCAGGTGGAGGGGGGTCGAGTGCAGATCAAGAGATCCGCGCCGAGCGCCAAAAGGTTGTGCTTCACTGATCCATGCTTGCGCGCCCCCGACTGGTGCATGGCGGGTCTTGTGATGTTCCAACCTACTTCAGCTTTGACCGCCAGAAAGAATTTCGAGCGCCAAGAAAGTACTGAGATTGGAGGGTTTTCACGCGTCGGGCCCTGGGAGGCGACACTCGTTCGACACTGTCTCGATGCTCTTCTGGGTGCTCGAAATTGTTTCTGGGACGTGGCCCGTAAGTACGGTGGGAGCAACGCGAGGCGGGTCGTGCGGGTACGCTTCGCCACGCTCCCGGCCGCTCTGCAAGAGCGGGGGGCGCCCGGGTGGCCTCGGTCTGCCGGGTGCCCGTGGGCCGCTCTTTGCCCAGCGGTTCTGCCCCGGGGCCCCCGCAGAGCGAGTCGGCTCGAAACGTGCAGCAGGGGGACGAGGGCGCCCGCCACCGCCAGGGCGCCTCGGCATCCCGCGCCTCGAAGCTCGGTGAAGACAAACTTGCAGATCTATATATAAGTATGTGTATGTATGTATATGTTGATATATATATATATATATATATGTATACAAAGTTCTCAGGTCCGCGGGGATCGCTTGGATCGGCGCTGGGGACCACTGGCGGTGCCTCCGGCACCGCCCCTGGCGCCTTCCGCGTGTCAGGGATGGGGGTCCAGCGCGGATCCAAGAAGTTGGCGCGGAGTCCCGAAAGATTATGTATGTGTTCTCTGTTCCTGTAGAATCGAGACTAGAGGTTTATCATATGAAGCTGTTATTGTTCAGACTCAGGCAATTACTTCCTCCCCCCCTCCGCCGCCTTTTCAAACGGCGCTTGGCCCTAAAGGCGTTCAAGGGCGTTTTAACCGCCGTGAAGTTCAGAGTTTTTTCTGGGCCTCGCCGGAAAGTGCCCGAATCTGGAGGATCATTGCCTCATTCCGGGCGACGGAATCTATGCATGTTGCATGTCCATGGCCTCTGGCCAGGCCCGTTTTGGGACCAGGCCAGAGGCAGTGGAGATGGTCAGATCTCCTCGCCCTGCAATCTGGGGCTCTTGTGGCCCATTTCAGACCCCCATGAGTCATTAGAGATCGGCCCCAGGATGGACTGCCGGCCAGCGTGAGTGTTTGGTTTGATTGTGGGTGAGCGAACCACGTGAGTGAGATTACGGTAATTCGGCTCGCGTCGTGTCGACCGGCGGCGACACCGCCGCTGGCGATCAACGTTGAACGCCGCTGGCGACCCAGAGTCGGTCGTTGTTGAACGGTCTGACGTTTCGGAAACGGCCGATCGTTCAAGGTTAAACGATTCCCGCGGTGTCAGGATCCAGCGAGTGTGTTTGAGAGTGTGTGCGTGTGTGCGTGTGTGCGAACGTAATCATGAGGGGGCCGGCCGCGCGCTTTTCCCGCTGTCCTCTCTTTGACGTACGCCTCGTCGCTGCGCGCGAGGCCGCGACGCCAACAAGTGCGTGCGTGTGTGCGGTTGTGAGTGAGAGAGTCTGAGTGCGATTGAATTTGAGTGTGTGTCGGTGGGTCTGGCTGCTGATTGGTCTGAGTATGAGTGTGTCGATAAGTGTGGGCGAGCCTGAGTCGAAGTGAGTCTGAATGGTAATTGGTTCGGAATGCTGCGAGGCAGATGAGCGAGGTTGACGGCGGCAGCAGTAGCTCACGAATACCACAACCCAACACTCCAGATATGGGACACAGCCCCACACTCAAGGATAGAGAAGTCAGGAGATGTGGTCATGAGTTATTCTGGGAAGGGGCAGAGACTCGGGGCATCACGCTCATAAGTGGGAACCTTGTCAGAAGGCACAAACAAAAACAGCAACAAAAGAGGAGATGGGCGCTCGTTTTGGTATACTTTGTGTTGCCGATCGGCGCGGGCCCTCGCACCCCCTCCCCCCCCCTGGGGTGGAGCTCGGCTGTTTTGGCGCCTGTTTCGAGCAGGTGGAGACCCCCCAGGACGCACTGTTGCAAGCCGTCGCGCTAAGAGGTGAGGTCCGGAGCCAGACCCCCCCCCGCTTCCGCCCACTGTCGAAACGCCGAATAAGCGAAGAAGGAAGCGCAATGCCAGGAGATGGGCAGCACAGGACGGGGGTCGACCTGCTCAGTGTTTTGACCATTTCGCAAATCCCCAACGCAACCCGAAGGCTCAGATCTGCCCTCGATTTCCAGTGGGAGGGGGTCGGGAGACATAGAAAAAGCACAGGTGGAACCCTTACCCCCCCCCCCAACCCGAAATTCGGGTCTTCGTGTTGGGCTGGGGTGGTCTGGTAGGTAGTCAGTAGCTGCCCGCCCCTCTGGGGTCGCGGGGGGCCCTCCGCGCCTCCCCCCAGGGCGTGCGGCAGGTTCGCGTCGTGCCGCCCGCGGCGGCGACCGCACCGCCGGCATTCGGCGCCGCACGCCGCTGGCGACGAAGAATCGGTCGATGATTGTTGTGCACGTTGTTGCACGACCTCACGTTCGGAGGGAGGAGAAGCGATACCAACACCACCAGGGGGCCCACCTCCAGCGAGGAGGTCCACGATGCCTCCCCGAGCTGGATGCTGGGGATGTCTCGAGCGAGAGGGGGGGACCACACCACCAGGGAGATTCCCCTTGCCTCCTCGCACCTCCTCGCCCTGCTGGTGTTGGTGTCGCCTTTCCTTGTCCCCAAAGCCCCCAAGAACGTTCGTTGAACGTTTTTGCTGTTCTTGCTCGGGTGTCCCCATCATTGCTTCCCCCCGTCGGCGGTTGTGAGATTGCTCAATATTGTTGAACGATCTCACGTTTCGGAAACGGCCGATCGTCCCAGGTGGAACGACCCGAGCGGTGTCGGGAACCAGCGCTGGGGTCGACAGGACACGAACCTGCCGTAAGCTATGACCACCTTGGGTCGGCGGCGAGCGAGGGGAGGAAGTGAGAAGCAGAAGGCCTTCTCAGAACGTGGCGGGACTTTTCAGAAGCCGTCTGGCCTCCTGATTTGTTTTTCGTGTCTTCGAGGGCAGCTTAGAACACTTTTCAGAAGGCTGGGGGGCTCGCGAGCCTTCTGAGAAGGCCCGCCCCTTCTCACTGTCCACCCTCGCTCGCCGCCGAACCTCGGGGCATGGCGCGTGCCCAGGAGCATGCGGAAAGTAAATGTCGGGGGGCTACTCGCTGATCAATCGGCGATGTATCGCCGATTCCAGGTCGATGTTTCCCACCCTATGCCTATCTCCCTATCGCTGTCCCCCATCCTGGCACTTGGCATCGCTCGGACGGGTGCATGGTTTCCCCGGCCAGGACCAGCGAGGAATATTCTGGATCCTCGGGCAACAAACAATGCATGCACAAAGCCGACACATGCACGGGGAATGGACGTCCGGGCGATGTCAAGATTGCTGCCCCCCATCCTGGCAGCGCCGTCGTCGCCGCCGCCGCCGCCGATGGCTGCGCCGCGCCGGCTGTGCGCGGCGGCGGCGGCGGGGGAGCGTTAAGTCGGGCATGTTGGAGGAATACTCCCAAATACACAAAAATTGCTCTGGGGACGATTCATTCTTTGTTTCTGAGTGTTTGTTGATTGTTCTTTTCGTCCAAAATGCCGGGGAACGAAAAGTCGGGCATGTTGGAGGAATATTCCCAAATACGCAAAAATTGCTCTGGGGACGATTCATTCTTTGTTTCTGAGTATTTGTTGCTTGCTCTCTTCGTCCAAAAGGGAAGACACGCCCGTCCTAAGGGGAGCGCGGGACACGCCGCCCCGCGGAGGTGGCAGAGCTCGCCGGGCGCCTCGCCGAGCTCCTGCCGCTCTTCCGGGTGTCCGTGGCCGGGCTCACGGGGCGGCCCTCCGCCCGGGGGGGGGGTGGGCGCCGCCGCCATGCCCCTCTCTCGGCGGCGAGCAAGGGGGGGGGGAATGCGGGAGAGGAGAACCACACTAACACAATGGTCGACTCCCAGGAAAAGAAAGGAAAACATGAGAAGTGGGGGGGAGGACGGACGCCCCAGAAATACAGAGGAAGATATGTGGAATATTTGGGGCTTGTGCCTATTTGTTTGTGTGTCCCTGGGCCCTCTTTTAGAAATGATAAGCAGCAGGCCTTCTCAGAAGGCGGCGGCCGGAGGTGGTCCGGGTTTGAGGATGGCGCGGGAGGGCGGAGCTTTTCTCCGCCCAGAGCGCTCGGCCGAAGATCGCCGAGCCTCGCGTGCCTGGGCGCGCTGGTCTGCCGACCGTGCCGTGGCCAGGAGCTTTGGAGAGCTCAAGGCCGTCCGCGTGCAGCTGGCGATGGCTGAGGCGGCCCTGGAGATGCTCGTAGGCGACGCGCGTGGGGTTTCTTGGGTTTGGATGGTTTTGCGATGGAGAGCGTCACGTTCCCACGCCACAGAAATCAGTGGACGCCCTGGGGTCTCAGGGTGGGTTCCTTGTGGAAGGTTTCTTGTGGACGGGCCTCCACTGTATTGCACCTCCCCCCGAGGACCCAGCCGCGCCAGACCCGCATACTCCAGGCTCACAGCAGGAGGCCGCGGATGCGGGACGGCGTGAGGGCCGCCGACGGCGTTTTTGCCGGCGGCGGGCGCACAGCCTGCGTCTCCTGAGCTTGCCACGACTGTTGCTCGAGCGTCGACCTGGCATCGCTCGGGCGTGTGCAGTTTTTTCGGCGAGGGCCATCGAGGAGCCTCCTGTCAAGTCAAGAAGCCATGCGCCCGTCGGCGCGTGGGCGAGACAACGCATTACACTGTTCTGCTCCTGGTGGGCCTTGCCTCCGGCATGGCGCGCGGGCAGAAGAATGCGAAAGTTGGTGCCGCGACGGACGCTAGAGAGCAAACCGCATCACGACTGTGACGCAGAAAAATAACGGAGCGCCCCTCGACTGTGAAGGAGACAATGTATAAACACAATTGTGGGGAAGCCAAAGCAGAGGGGAGAGAGGAGAGAGGGGAGGGGGGGGCGAACAAGATACAAGCGGAAAGCCGCATCATTCGTGTTCTTCAACAAATTGCGAAACAAATCGACACCATTGTCGAGTGTCTGTGACGCACTGGGAGTGAGCATAATCAGATTCGAAGCAACTCCTGATTTTATTATACAAACACTTCGCCCACTCGTGTCTGGGGCGCCCGCGCTTCCGTGCAAGAGTATCAGTGATCGGTCTCACACTGCCTGGTTGGAAGGTTAATTTTCGGAGCACGTCCGCGTCGCTGCTCCGGCCAAGTTTACCAAACCACATAAGCTGATGCTGGAGTAGTTGACGATTGTAAGATATCGCCCCCGCTTTTTGTATCACACTTTTGTTGGACACCCTCGAAATATAGGAATGAGGAATGTTCAGAATATGGCGTAGGCACCTCGCCTGGAAACCATCCAAGCGTCGTCTGTCGCTCTTGTTTAGCCAGGCAGAGTTCAAAGAGTACATCACTTTAGTCGTAATCAGCGCCCCAAATACGTTCAGCTTTCGTTCTACCTTGATGGAAGTATGCTTCCAAGCCCTTGTGTGTATTTGAAACTCCCCCCAAGCGATCCCAAGTCGTTTAACCAACTCTGGCTTCATGTTGCCGGAACTGTATATCGATGCTCCCAATTATTTAACTTGTTCGGTATCCGGAGTAGGGTTCCCATTTGGGGCCAAAATTTGTATGTCGCAGCCAGTCTGTATACGTTGAAATTTATCCCAATGAGGCTCCATCCCCATTGCTGCCCCTGCTTCTGCAATTGCGTCGAGCTGTGACTGTAGTTGACCAGCGTGCCGTCCAACCAAGAGGGTTTCATCGGCGTGCAGCAGAACAGAGATCCCCAGCAGCAAGTGCTTCGAGCGATGCCTCGTCCAGTTTGTCTTCTGCGTTTTTGATAACCACGCTCATCAATCACCATGACAAAGAGGAACGGTGATAGGGGGCAGCCCTGCGCAATTCCCGATTGTTGGTTTCTGATGCTTGATTTCTGTCGCCCGTCTGCCACGCAGAAACGTCTGTTATCGTAAATATTACCAATGAGAGAAAGCATGTGTGGTGGTACACCGAATACCCGCAGTGCGTCCAAAAGAGCGGTCACGTTGATCGAGTCGAATGCTTTCTTCCAGTCCAGCGCCAGCATAGCTACGGCTCGTCCTCGTTCTGCGTGTGATAACTCGATGTGTCTGCGCACGACATGAATTGCATCGGTAGTACCCCTCCGCCTTCTGAAACCAAATTGTGTCGTTGTTAGTCTGCTTTCGGCCCCAGCGTCCTGTAGTCTCCACAATACTAGCGTTGCCAATAACTTGTAAATAACACACAGCAGGCTGATAGGGCGATAATTGTCGCACTGGTCGATTGGGCCTTTGTTTTTGTAGATGGCCGTGACATCAGCGTGTCTCCACTCCGTCGGCACTTGTTTTTCCTTCCAACACGTGTTGATCAGCAAAGTAATCCATTTCAAGCCTTTGCTGTCTTTGGCCAATGCCTTCCAAAACTCTGCTGGTATGTCATCTGGTCCGGAGGCTTTTCCCCGCTTCAAGTTTGAAATAGCGAATCCAACATTTTTGTCTGGAAAATCGGTTTTGGTGATGGGCAGGGCGTCTCCGAAGGGCACTCGATCCACTACTTCCGCAGGCCAGACTTTCCAATGTACTTCTTCCAAATACTCGGCCATCGCGTTCGCCTTCTCTTCGCTATCGACAAGCTCGCCTCGTAGATTACGAAGTCTGCCTTGGTTGTGGGGCTTCGGCCGGCATACTTGAAAGTAAATGCACGCACGACGCCGACAATTGCACGGGGAATGGACGTCCGATGGATGGTGAGAGTCGATGTTCGGAATGCTGGCAAACGTTCCCGCGCGGGAGGTCTTCGAGGTTCTTGTCTTGGAGGGGTTTAGCGGGTTGGGCGGGGGTGGTGCAAGTTGCTTGACGATCCATTTGTTCGTTCAGGGAGCAGGCGGGCAGGGAGGTGGAGGAGGGGCGACGGAGGAGGAGGGACAAACGGAGGAGCGGTCGGGTGACGCCGCCCTGGCGGCCTGTGGCACTGTGAGGTGGGTCTGCCTCAGCCGAGACGTGGACAAGTGCGGCGTGGTGCAGAGGGAGGAGATGCGGCCAGCCCCCCCCGCCACGAGCGACGGGCCGACGGGAGGAGGGCGAGGATTAGCACGACGAGGCAGGGCAAGGACTGCGAGGATGGCAGGGAGGAGGGGAAGAGCGAGGGCGGGGGAGAGGTGGAGCATGATGATCACGAGGAAGGGAAGGAGAATGGGGAATCTGATGATGAGGATGAGCAGGACAGGGAGGACGAGGCGATGGGAACGGAGCGCGGGGGAAGGCGGAGAGATTGCTTGACTGGCGGGAGAAACGGGCACCGCGAGAAACTTAGCGGGCAGCACGGCCCCGCATTTCCTTGCGGCATTGCCCCGCATTTCTTAATAAGCGTCGGGAGGCCGTCACCCCTTCCGACAGCCCCACATCGACCCCCGTCGCGGGCAGCCACCGCGCGCCGAAGGCACTCCGAGCCCCGTCGCGGCGCGACGACGAGGCGAAGTTGACCCCCGTCGGGGGGGACCCCCCACGCTTCTTGAGAAGCCCTGAGTAACCCTTCTAGTTGGCATCGCTCGGACCTATGCATTTTTCCTCGTCGAGAACCATCGAGGCGCACCTTTGATCCTCCAGCGGCAAGTGTGCCTGCACGAGGTCGAAACATAATTACACGGAGAGGGGACGTCCGAGCCATGGCGACTCCAAGTAGGGCGGGCGCGCGACCCTCGACCCGGGCAGTCCGTCCCGCCGGGCATGCCAGCACCGCCGCTGTGGCGCCCCGCAGGGCCCGCCCGACGCGAGGCTGCGACCGCTGCCGCAGCGAGCCGATTTTGCTCCGGCGCGCCCGCCTCGAGGAGGAGGAGGAGGAGGAGGAGGACGACGACGACGACGCCGACGACGACGACGACGACGACGACGACGACGGTGACGACGACGACGACGGCGACGACGACGGCGACCACGCCGCGTGGTGAGTCGGCGGGAGTCTCGGGTCGCTGCGCGATTCCGGAGCTCGGGTCGTGCTCCATGCCTCGGAGGACCGGGGGGCCTCTGGGGTCCCAGAGCCGGGTGGCGACGGACCGCGCGGCGAAATTGCTGGGGATCCCCGACGTCACCACACGGGCCGTCACCACGCGATGTCGGGGCCATGAAGAGGAGGTCGGCCACGCGCAGAGGGGGGCATAGGGGGAGGGGGGAGGGCGTCTCAGAAGGCGATTGTTTCTCGTAAGGCGCAAGCCTTACATCTACAGGTGTAAGGCTGGCTCCTCCTCCTCCTTTTCCTGCTTCTCCTTTTCCTCCTCCTCCTCCTACTCCTCGTCCTCCTCCCCCTCGTACCCCGCTGCGCGCGCCGCTAGGGAGAGGAGGGATGAGGGCGGGGGAGGAGGGGACGGGGGCGGCAGGGTATCCACGCGCCTGCCCCCCGCACGCACAGAACCCCGCTCTCGCCCAGCGTGTTGCCGCCGAGCCCGGTCAGCGCCGTCGCATCGTCGATTGGCGCCGCATCGTCATCCACATCTCGAAGAAGACGGCATAATGTGGCATAAACATAAACTTGTGTCGCTCCGCGCGGATCCGAGAATTCCGCGCGGAGCACCAACAGTTTATGTGTATGCCGTTTTTTTTTTTTCTAGTCTAGGACTTTCCGGGAAGGGGCGCCAGAAGGCCGAGGCGCACTGGACATGTACAAGCATCTAGTAAGCCTTTCGGCGACAGGTTTTTGTGGGTCCTGTCCCCTGCGCCGCTGGCCTCTTGAGAAGGGAGCCTCAAACTCCAAGACGAAGTGGAGGATATGGATATAACTCTTGCCGGCATGAAGCATCTGACTTCCCCAGCATTTGCCCACGCTGGATGCGAGCCCGTGAAACTTATCCTTCAGTTGTAGGCGTCCTAGATGGGGTCGGAGTGGATGGGGTCAGAGGATCGCGCCGCATCGCCGATGCATCGTCGATGCATCTGTGATGCGGGTCGATGTGGGGCCCAATTTTCTCCACGCCGACGTCGCCGATGCACCGCCGACGTCGCCAGTGCATCGCCGATGCATCGCCGATGCATCGACGATGTATCGGCGATGCATCGGCGATGCGGCGAGATCCTCCGACCCCATCCACTCCGACCCCATCTAGGAGGCCTCTAGTGCAGTGGCCTGCTCCAGGTCCCCCTCGCCCAGCGTCAGCAGCACACCGCCGCGCGGTTCGTGCGCAGCCCTTGCTCTTCACCGCCAGCGGCCACCGCCTCTCCACGCTGGTGCTGCCGTCGATGGTCTTGTCGCTCGGAGGGGCAGGGGCCAGTGCCATCATCGCCTGAGCCTCCATCGTCGCGCCCTCCTCCGGGGCTCGTTTCGATTCCTCCGATTCGATTCGATTCGACTTCGATGACTTCCGATTCCGATTCGATTCAATTTGGGATTCTTGGCATCCGATTTCTCATTGGAGGCATACTAGCCTCCCTGTGTCCGCCGATTCGACTTTTCCCGACTCGACTGCCGATGTCCGCCGATCCGATGCATTTCAATCGCCGATCTGACTTATCGATTCGATTCTGGGGCCTCCTGCCTCCTCCTGCGCAGCGGTGGCAAAAGGAGGCATCGCATTGGCCGCGTCCTGTACTTCACGCTCTCGTCGACCATCTCGGCGTGGGGGCACGTAGGACCGCCTTGTCGAGGTCGTCCTCCCGACGCGATCCAGACATCTTCACAAACCCCTTCGGCTTCACCTATGGGTCCTTCGCTGCGGCCTCGTTTTTAGATATGGTGGTCTCAAGCTTGGGCGTTGCATCGGCCGTGTACTTCATCACATCCGCCTGAATCATCACAGAGTCCGTGGCCTCGTCAATGCACTCGGCCCCATCGTCCAGGCAGTTTCAAGGTTTTGAGCGGAGTTTGAGGCACTCGTAGACCTGCACCTGGCACCCCTTGCTGTGCTCGTCGCACTCCTCGGCCACGTCGCCGTCCTGGTCATAAGGTCGGGAACGTTTGGTTAGCGTGTCGCGCTGCCGGTTCTGGCCCAGCACGCTTCGGCCTTCCGTTATCCGCTATCCACCATCCGTTTTCCAGTCTGGCCCACCACGCTTCGGCTATCCCGCTGTCGGCCTGCACACCACCCGCTATCCCGCTATCCGCAATCCGCTGGCCCACCACGCTTCGGCTACCTCCGGTTGGCGACCCTCTATCCGCTTTCCGGCCTCCCAACGTCAACGTCTCGAGCTGCTGCGAGCCTCCCGCCTCGTGGAGCGGAGCGACACGCCATCCGCTTGTAAGGCATAGCGTGTCGCCGGGACCGACGCCGCGACTCGGTACAGAGGAATCCCATGCCAAGAATCACCCTGCTTGCCTCCAGGGTGCCCTGGGGTTCTTGGGTTTCGATGGGTTTGCCGTGGGAAGCGTGACTTTCCCACACCACAAATCACTGGACGTCCTGGGGTCTCAATGTTGGGTTTCTTGTGGAAGTCTTCTTGTGAACCAGCTCCTGCTGTAGCAGCAAGCAGGACGGAGTGTTTTGCCTAGTTTCGGCCCCCGCGGGCCCTCCTTGGGCCCCTGGGCCGCCGGAGAACGCTTCACAATCCAGGGCCGTGGCCCTAGGGAACGGTTGGGACAGGGCCAGGGGCAACGGCAGGTGGGGATAGGTTGAGGGGGGGGGGATGCATCGAACCCAAATCGCGCACAGCCGGACCGAGGTATAAGATCGAGGTCGGTTCGGGGAGGGTACCCTAGTGTTCTTCTCGTGTGTGTGTGTGTGTTGGATGGTGTTGTGCATCCCGAGGGAGGGTACCCTCGGGATCCTTCTGGTCGGGGGTGTTTTGCCCCGCGGAGGGTCCCACGTTCTTCAGCGATGTTCTTATGTCCTAGGTTTCGGTCGGGCATGCCCCCCTACAGGAGGAATATTGGAAAATACGACAAACATAGTCTGGTGACGATGATTCGTGCTCTGTCGACTCTGTTTGAAAGTCTTGGTGACAATGATTTATGTGCCCTCCTGCAGGGGGATTTCGAAATACGAATGAAACATATCCGTAAGGGCTTTGCCCCCTGCCGCGGGCCCCCTCTCTCGGAGAATGGGCCATGGAAGAGCGAAGCCATGAGGCTTTGGCTGATCTGCATGAGGGGTGTTAATTTGCATCATCCCAGGAATTTTGAGAAACCAGGCTGGTTTTTGGCTCCCCCCCCTCGCGCGGACAGTAACAATTTACACTAGGAAGCAGAAAGCAGTAGTGTATCAATGGAAACTGGAAACTGGAACTGGTGCAGGGAGCAGCAAGCTTAAGCCTCGCAGCCTGATGGCCCCGCAAGGGGGCCGGCAGATCAAACAATAAGGAACACATAATCAAGACCAAAAGGAAAACGACCCCAGAGTATTTGTTCTTCTATTGTTTAACATGTTCCCCCTGTAGAGGGACATGCCCGACTGAAACCTAATTCGGGTCCGGCTGCAACCATCTCCACGTGCGCGCGCGCGAAGGCGTGCGCGCCCGGCCACGCGCGCGCGCCTGTGCCCGGCCACGTGCGCGCACGCGAAGGCGCGCCGTGCGCCGCGGGCGCGCCCACGCCGCTCGCCCACGCGCCGCAGGGGCGCAGCCGCCTCCACGCGGGCGTGCCCGCCGGCATCCACGACGACGACGGACGACGACGGACGACGACGACGACGACGACGACGACGACGACGACGACGACGACGACGACGACGGACGACAACGACGACGACGACGACGACGGACGAAGACGACGACGACGGACGACGGACGACGGACGACGGACGACGACGCCGACGCCGACGACGACGACGACGACGACCGACGACGGACGACGACGACGACGCCGACGACGACGACGACGACGCCGACGACGACGACGACGACGACGGCGACGTCGGCGCCGTCGCCGTCGTCGCCGTCGCCGTCGGCGGGGCCGGCGGCGTCGCCGCCGGCGTCGTGGGCCGCCGCCGGCAGGAGGCCCTCGGGCGCCTTCTGGCCGAGCTCTGCGGCGCACTCGGCGCCCTGGAGGCTCTGGCCGCCACGTGCGGGGCGCCGGGCCTCTCGACGTCCCGCCCGGGGGCGAAGGGGAGGGGCGAAGGGGGGGCGAAGGGGAGGAGGAGGAGGAGGAGGAGGAGGAGGAGGAGGAAATTGAGGAGGAGGAGGAGGAGGAAATGGAGGAGGAGGAAATGGAGGAGGAGGAGGAGGAGGGGGAGGAGGAGGAGGAGGAGGAGGAGGAGGAGGAGGAGTGAAGAGGCAGGAGAAGGAAGAGCAGGAGGATGATGAGGAGGAGGTGGGAAGAAGCAGCAGAAGGAGGAGGAGGAGGAGGAGGAGGTGGGAAGTAGGAAGTTGGGAGGGAGGGGAGGCAGGATTCCTCGCGGTGTGTTCTCTGCCATCTTCGGCTCTGATGGAGGCTCTCGCCAGGCCTGGGGACCTTGAGAAAACGTCCCAGGATGAACAGCTGGTCCCCGGGGAAGGTGGGCCGATACCTCTTCGAGGCTCAAGGGACGGGGGTCAATGCAAACGGGGGTCAACGAGAGCGGCAGATCGCGGAGGATCTTGCAGGGCCAGGGCTGTATTGGCCCGGGTCAGCGTGCAGGATCCTACAGGATCCTGCAGGATCTTGCAGGAGCCTGCAGAGCCTGGCTGACCCGGGTCTGGATTGACCAGTGTCAGTAGATCCCCAAGGCGGGGGGGCGAAAGGGTAGGACAGCAAGGGGTAGGGTAGAGAATCAGTTCACGTAGCTGGTTGTCCTGGCGCCTCCTGGCACCAGAATGCGCCCGTGTGTCGAGGAATGGGCCCGCCAGCGGGGCCGAAACCAGTTGCATGTAGCAGATTTCGTCCCCCCCATTTCCCCATCCCGGCCCGACTCTTCGCTGCAGGCCTCCCAGATTCAAACATGCTCCCGTCGTGACAAAATCTGGACGGGAGATTTATCTCCGTTTTCAAGATCTGGGGGCCCTCCCTCAACAGGCCCAAGGGCCGTCAAAACATGATTCAGAATGAAAACCCGGTCTTGGGGAAAGGGTCGAGACTTCGGATAATAGCGTATTAAACAAATCAGGACGTCGCGTGTCTAGGGATATTCGGACACGCGCAGAGGGGTGTAGGGGGAGGGGGGAAGGCGTCTTAGAAGAAGGAGGTGCTTCTTAGAAGGCGCGGGCCTTGTCTATAGATGTAGGGCCGTCGCCTTTGAGAAGCAGTGTACTTCAAAGAATCCTTCCCCCTCCTCCTCCTCCTCCTCCTCCTGCTCCTCCTCCTCCTCCTCCTCCTCCTCCTCCTACCCCCTTATGCGCGCCGCCACTCTTCGCTGCAGGCCTCCCAGATCCGCGTGGTTCGAATCCCCCCAAGCGAGCGGCGTGGAAAGAGGTCCAGAGAACCCTAGGCGTCCCCGTTCTGAACGGACAGCTCGGTGTCCATTTTCACTACCCTCAAGTCGGGTATGTCCCTCTACATGAAGACAATCCAAGACCAGTAAAAAGTGGTTTTGGTGACGATGTGTCGTGCGCGTTCCTGACTATTGTTGATTGTGTTTGGCTAGTTCCCATGTTTCCAAAATCTGCCTGTAGGAGGACATGCACGACCTAACACTGCCCACCAAAACGCCCTGACCCAACCCGCAGGCCCCGAATGTCCCCCATTCCCAGGGGGGGGGGGCATCCCAGACCATTGACAACAACAACTCGGACGAGCGACGCGAGCAAACTGGGCCGTCTGCGCCGACATAGGCGCGTGAGCTGCCCGCGTAAGGTCGCGCGTAAGGTCGCTTCCAACGCGGTGTGCCGCGCTGGCGGCCCGCGTAAGCCGCGGCGTGAGGTCACCATGCCATCTCGCGGACGGCCCGCTTCTCTTCGACGCTCAAGCGGGGTCCGAGCAGGCGGGGTTGGAGGGTCGCAAGCCTACCGCCGATGCGTCGACGATGCGGCTCTATGTGGAGCCCGGTGTCCTCCACGCCGATGGCGCCCATGCATCGCCGACATCGCCGATGTATCGCAGATGCGGCGCGATCCTACGATCCCATCTACTCAGACCCAATGTGGGAGGCCTTTACAGATGAGGCCAGAGTAGATGGTCGAAGCAGACAAGACCACATACACATACAATCTTGACGCTACGCAAATTCCCGCCAGCCCATGCCCAGGCAAGTTGTCTCGATTAGGGTAGCGGGTTGGCATGCAGCAGAACAGAGAGCTAGAGAAGCCCCTCAAATCCAAGTTTGTAACAGCTTGAACAGAACCAGGAGGAAGGGCGGAGGACTAGGATGTGTCTTGGAGGAGGAGGAGGAGGAGGAGGAGGAGGAGGAGGAGGAGGAGAGGGAGACATGGTAAGGGAGGAGGAGGAGACAGGGTAAGAGAGGAGGAGGAGCAGGAAGAAGGAGGCGAGCAGATGGAAGATGAGTTTGATGGACCATGTTCTCACTTAACCTCTCTTGTGGACACTAGATGTGAGGATATGGAGGATGAAGGTAATGAGGTGGATGAATAGGCGGTGGGGACCGAGAGGGAGGAAGCGGGGGCGGCGCGGATTAGGATTGACTCTCATGGGCTCGAACCTTTTGCTCATATAGCCTTTTGGGGGCCGCTCTGCGGGCGCGCGTGGTGGCTCTTGGGGCCGCCTCGGAGCCATGCTGGGAGCCTCTGGGGTTCTCCTGGGCCTTCTCGAGTCCCTCTTGGGAGCCTCG